GTTGCCTTTTCAGCGTGAATTCCGAGTTTCTAGAGCGTTTGCAGTCGCAAATATGTCCCCATATTGGCAGTTGTGGATCCAGTAACTTTATCCGTCGGAGGTGTTTGAACTGGCCCTGCAATCTACAATATGGAAGTGCCTTGCGAAACGTTTTTTATTAAAAAAACGAAGTGTAACGGAGCCAATGAGAGTATAGAATTTCGATTGAGATCCCTTTAGTCAATGAAGCATAGTTCAGTTCAATTCAAAGCCGTGGGGGATCCACTTGGATTCATATTATAGTCTTACTTGGCTCAAGCTAGACTCGCCCAATTTTGAATTTCCAAGCGTAGAATAAAAGGATAAAGGATAAAGCATTTGCCGTTGATCAATCCCTTTTTGGGATGCGGCACGCATTCTACTTCCATTTGTACATTCGTAGTGGCGTTTGAATGCGATGTGGCCTATACAATGACTTGCGGGGGCCAGCCGATGTACAAGTCAGTGTTTTTATCCTCCCAGACAAGTCTGGTACCAATTAACCGACCCCGGAGGGATGGAAGGCTTGGTTGGCCCGGGCGACTCACGACCCAGGATTTGATCCCCGGACCGCTCGCGTGGTAAGCGTGCCACTTGCCACTACACCACTTCCGCCCTCGTAGAATATAAAGTATTAATACAGCACTGCAACAGCACGCGAAAGCGCGCTAGAACCTTATGAGTTAGCAAATCTGAAATCCTGTAGACGTAATCCTTCGCTGGCTTCCTCGCACAGGATATGGGTTATGATCCAAGGACAAGATATCGCCCACGTACGCCCTCTGCTCATTCCGACGCGAAAGAGATGGGGTCTCTGTCAAGGGCTTAATCGTACATTTTTTTTTACCTTTTAGTCAATTTCCCGGCCCCACTTCAATTATCGAGCTCTGTTACCCCACGACCTTCGAACTGGGGTTTTGCTCAATAGAAACCACAGTTCGGATAAGCCCAATTGAATGGTGGGCTAGAAAAGGAGAGTGTGTTTGACCAGCTTTTGCAACAAAGAATTTGCTGACAAAATGGGTGCTGCGCCCTTTTTTGTGCAATCCCTATCTTAGGGTGACAAGTTGCAGTTGTTCTATCTGAAAAAGTGATGTTTGAGAAGGTCTGTCCGTGAGATTCTTTCCCAAGGGAGTAATGAGATTTTGATTTACGCGGTTCTAAGGTTTCACAAGAATGCTGGGTTGTGAACAAAACTTTCTCCCCACACGGGGCTCGAACCCGCACCTTCTTTGCTTAACCGGACCCTTTAGCTCTTTCGTCCCTTCTGGGACGTAAGTTTTATTCACCACCAAGCATTCTTGTGAAACATTCGTAAGGCGAACTGTGGCCAAAAACAGGCGCGATAAAAATTAACACAGGTCAGGGTTCTATTAGGTTGTTAAGCCAATCTCTTGGCTCTACATCTATTCAGTACGCCCGTCTTGTCGATTATTGTCTCACAATTCTTGGGACATGGGTGCGTGGCGCTCGTGACTTCTCGAGACGGATAATTGCTTCCGTCTTTGATACTTATATCCGAATGAATTTATGTTACGAGACTTGACGGCTGAATAAGTTTTTTGTACATTAGGTAAGGCAAGGTTATTTTTAGAGACTTAGAAAAATGTTTATTTTATTGATTCTCAGGAGTATTCACTGTAATTTCTTGCAGATTTCACAACGAGCATTCTCTCCGGTCCAACACCTCAACGTCTTGGCAATGCAAAATAATCAACTGACCACTCTCAAAGGTCAGTGCTGAAGTTTTTCTGGATACAGTATCCCTGAAAAAGGCGCCTTAACGCCATTAGGTCAGCTTAGCGACCAGAAAAAAGTGAGAATAGGGCTGCAAACAATTTTGCGTAACCTGGCTGTGCGTAACCAAGATTGAACATCTCAGTACTTCCCGGGATGATCATCGAGCCCATTCATTAACACTGGTTCAGCGCCCGACGAATTTATAAGCAAATTGTCAAACCTAAGAGCCTTTGTACTCGATCTAGTGGTACAGATTTCACTAAATCCCTCCGGCTGCACTCCTTTGGCCCAGCCTCCAGTAGCTATGAGCCCAGCTATCCAACTCCAATCTTTGGCATGGAAAATATCAAGGGGAAGGCGCGATATGCCTTTTTCTTCAGGTATTATAGATATGTACTATGTAACTATTCCTGCCTCACAGGCATCCACTTGGAGCAGGTCCTTTTAGCTCATCTTTGGGAACTTAAAGTCACATCCCGCAATTGGAGATTTCTCGCTCACCCTGAGTCTCTCTGAAGCTTATGCTAACTCCCGTTTCTTACAAAGAGAGGATATTCACGTAGTTTGAAACGTATTGCCACTAAAATGCCCCCGCATCCTGCGATAGCTCCACTATCTGTCTTACAGCATATAGCAATATGTATAGGTATAATAAATATGCCCATTTAGGTGGACAGTCCTACTTGCAACCTCTTCGACGCTTGACAACACTACTCGTATCGGGTAATCAGCTTCGTGCCATTGGTGAACACGATCTGCCACGAACTCTGCTGGTCCTTGCCGCTGACCACAATCTCATTGAAAAGGTATTATTGTTTATTTTTGTTTAGCATTGTAATTTTTATTTATTTGAACTATTCAAAAATTGGCATTTTTCCAGATCGACGTCAAAGCATTCGATGGCATGACTCTTCACAAGCTGTTCATCAACAACAACAAGCTGCCATTCCTGCATCGTCACACCTTCGACTTCCATTTCATTCGACACCTTGGAGGCGATTGATATCACTTGTGAGTTATCACGCCGTTATAAGAAAAGGCAGAGCAGTTGCCGGGCAAGAATGCGCTCATCGTAGTAGCAGGCACATATCGGATCGAGGCCGGTTGAGGCTAAACCGATCACGCAACTCTACGTGGTTGAGGCTCATGGGGGTGAGGGAAATAGGGGATCTTATGGCTTGATCACTGTTCAGTTGATGCTCAATTAATGATATAATGCTATCACAAGATACGGGAACATCCTCAAGGACTAGACTAAGAGGGCAGAAGCTCTGGGGACGTTGGAACTCGCTCTCGCACCTGGTGTATCGCCTCCATCGCTTGAGGCTTGGCCTGATTCCAGGCGGAGATCTTAGATGTACAGTACAATGCCCCCTACCTTGCAATAGTGCCAAAGTTCATTTCTCAGAACCATAAGTTTTCCCCCAAATCGTTATTGTATAGGCCAGGAACGCATCCAAATATCTCTGCAATCCAGAATGATAGCCGAATCCACTGCGCAATCTGGGCCTGATCAATCAGATTATCGTCTCTTTCTTTGAAAGCGGTTTAAGCAAGGAATACAAAATGCGTATCGATCTGCTCTCATGATCTACCTTTTGGAGAATCTTCTGCGAATTGCCGAATAATATGGTCATTGTTTCGATGTCGGGGATCGGTACCCTGGCCGGTCCTCTAAATCGGTGCCGAGATAATGACAGCTGTAGAAACGATTGGAGGAATATTCGGGAGGGCGGTTGAGAGAGGGTGAGAGGAAGCGGGAGGGGGCGGTCGAAGTGGGAACTCGCCGAGGAAGCACTCGACACTGAGAGACCGCATTCCAAGAACAATCACCTGCGCCTCGCTTTGCGATGACGTAGGCGAGCTGAACAAAGAGAATGAGATAATTCCAGTGGCTTTCTTCAGCAGCTGGAGCGCATGTCAATGGCGTCGGAGATTAGACAAAAATGGCACCTTTGGCTACCTTCCGCCGACCAGTGCCAGACCGAGGATAACTGATTTATGCGTAAGCCCAAACCGCTCAAACCAGCTCCCACAAAGTTTGCAGTTAGGCTCCCTTCTGGAAAAGTGCCGGTCTCTAGTCTTTTTTTTTCAATTTTTTTGACTGGATTCAGAGTAGAACAGTTCACTAGACCCATATGGGCGTTATGAACTGAGAAAATAACCCTAGAGCCAATATTGCTTATATCAATCCGGGTGTATTTCAGTTTTTCTCCTGAAGTCAGGTCTCTTAGATCAGCACACCTTGTTTGGTTTTTAACAAGCCTAAGTCTAAGCCCAGATCACACCTTAGCATCGCGCAACTCTGTGATCTGAGATCATAAGGAGAACTGAACGTCCCCTAATCGACCTTCTCCATCCCACCGATGTCCCTTACTCGATAACGAACTTATATTGGAAGATAAAAACGCGACTAAGCTTCAGCGAACCCTAGAGGTAGTTATGTAAGCGGAGCACGCATTCAAAGCCTATTACGTTTTCCAGTGGAAATCCCATACATGGCCCATCCTAAGAAGAGAATGATCAGGTCAACGTCGAGCGATCATCCTTGGTAGATTTCACCCCTATAGCAGAGGTAGCTTGACTCCGTCCCCAATTTGACCCTAGGTAGCAACTGGCATCGCTTACATAGGCCTTACATGAGAGCGGGGTCAATACTCTTGGAGCGGGTTTCTTTTGGGGGCGGCGGCCCCCCAGAAACAGCACCCCTTCCGTCCGTCGAGTCATGTCAGTTGAGAAGAAACCCGTCTAGTTGCACAAAAACACCAACTTGCACATAGGATTGTATAGGCCACATCGCTTGCAAACGTTATTGAACTTCTTAGTGGGAACAGACGATGCATTCCTTTAAAGGACGAATTCACGATGAAAAAGCAACCCATTTCAAATTAACCTAGGGATGGTGAGTGGTACACGAAAGAAGGAAGAACCATGAGAAACGGCCCAGAACCCGAGAAATGGTACCCCTTCCTTGCCCGTTGATTCGAGCATTGATGCGACTCTCATCGCTGTGCCCTCTTCAACACTACGCTCTCTCAGCTATCTAATCACTCGCCACGTATTGAACTACGGCGAGTGATCAGATGATCGGTGGGCGGAGATCGCCGGACCCGCCAGCTTTGAGGCATGATAGGTCGCCGAGGTCAAATTTTTCCATGCGAATTGCGCGTCAGTTCGCACCCTCAGGAGGTCCGTGGGTCCCTCAACTAGGTCAGTTTCCCTTTCTTCGACCTTCATTCTAATCGTGAATTCCTCCTTTAAAATTGCTTTACCCAAAGTGCTTCTGCTTTATTCCTGTATTCGAAAGCGGAGTTCACGTTGAAAGCTCACTGTAAATTAGGGCAGAGGTAGCTAACTGTGCTGGGATGAAGAAAAAACTGTGAGAAGCAGCCCAGAACCTGAAAATGGGACCCCCTCGTTACTCGTTGAGTTGTTGAGTTGATGCACATTGGCTACTCTAATCGCGGCTGCCCCTAACGCCTCAATGCTCCTCTGCTTACGGCGGAGAGTCAGACGACGGAGAGTGGGGGCGGGTATATTGCGCGCTAGCGACGCAGTGTGCGGCCTGCTAAGCCGCTGTGGCAGATCCCTTGGCTGCGAGACGCGCCGATCGTCCCTACTGACACAAAAAGCGGATCCGCGTGCCTTTCGCTAGGTATATTTTTCCTTCTTCGACATTCGACCACATCGTGGAATCCTCCTTTATTCCTGGAAAGCGTAATATGTCTATGCAGTTCAGCCATTCTGATTTCAGCGAACGCCTGGCAATGCGTGTGTGGCGAGGAATGGCTCGGTGACTGGTTGGAAAAGGCCGGTGACAGCGATGTTGGCGATGGTTCGTTCACTTGTTCAGGGTAAATCGCGATCTCCCTCGAAGTCAATTCTATTCCAGGAGTGCTTGGATGCCTAGTGACAGCGGCTCGTCGATGCGCTGTTGATCCCCAGATGGAGACAGACGAGGTGCGCAGTGTATGGGTGACGGTGACGGCGTCCATTTTGGCAGCTGTCTCGCTCTTGATCCTCATCGCGATCGCCTTCCTTTACATCACCGACGGCAAACAAAGGGTACGTTCTATTTAACTACCGTTACATCGTTCATTTGCCTACCGTATCCTTTACAGGTGGTCCTGATGCGACCGTTGACGTGGTCGAACCGCTTCGGATCTGCACAAAGCTGATTCGCGATGTCGATCTTGATGCACCGACCTTGGTCCACCAAGAAAGCTGCCACCAAACGGTGACAAGAAACGCGTTCGTTTCGAGGACAACTGATCCTTTTAAGCCCCTTTTGGGCGGAGTTCCTCAAATTTGTGTCCTCCATTTGTTGTACTACGTGTTCGAATCCCGTTGTTGATATGGTCGAGTATTCGTTGATATGTCTCTGATTACCATAAATCCCTCTGCTTTGCTACGGACATTTAAGCCCAATCCAGGAGCTGCACGGGCTCCCCGTCGGGGGAACCCGTGCTCGTTTCCTGTTTTCAAGTGTCTTGCTCTGTCGAGTTCATGTTTATTTAGCCGCCGAAATTGTGCGCGTTTTTAATATACGGATTGATTTACCCATATTTTTTATACCAGTTGTAGATAGTTTTATCCCAAATTTACCCTTACAAATATTTTTACTAATAATTAAATTCATTATAAGTATGCATCATGGTATTTGATAACCTTCCAGAATTGTTATTATTATATTATTTAAACACAAAACTCGGGTCGAGAGCTTTTGATCTACCGTCTGGACCCAGTCACCCTTCCCTCCTGCCCAACCCAGTCTTACTCTCATCAAAAAAATTGTAATCGCTCCGTTTTTTACTCAGTTCTTATGTAATCACCAGGCAGCAACCCTCAGTAAATTGTAACCCAAAACCCATTTTTTGTATCTTATTCAAATTGTTTGATGTTTTGTTAAGCAGGCTTGTTTGTAATGAATTTTGTCAAATATGTTCTGTTTCATGGAAATTGTGTATAAATCGAGATGTGCAACATTGCGAACCAGCGAGAAGACCTCAGCCATTGGAATCAAATGCACGGCGCATTCCGAAGGATCCAGTAGTTCCACGGTTTGCTAACGAAGGAAAAAATCTCGCTTAAGCCAACCAGGCAAAAATCTAAATCTAAATTCGACCTGTGCCTTAGGTGTTCCTCCCTTGCCACCTAAGGCACAGGTCGCAATTATATCCCTGGAGAAATTCTTCAGAGAAATCCTCCCAGGAAAAACCATAGCTCTATCTCACCCAAAAATCAGTGGCTTGAGACCCATCGTTCGCGATAATAACGAAAAGAACAAGAAATTGCGTTTATTTGGTCAAGATTCGAAAAACAAGGAAAACTGTTACGCATTCAAATTCCCGCCGGACATCTGTCACAAATGCTAGCGGCGGGAAGGCGGACTTTTTTTATGTCCCGCCTTTGACTCCGTGCGACCTACCTTCAACTGTTCATAGAGTGTGGTTTTGAGAATGAATGGAGAGCGAATGCCCTTGGAGCTCACTAATTTGCTCCTTAGAAATGTAATGATTATAGACGGTTCAATGCGGAATAACACCTCAGCTTAGAGTGGGAGGAATAAATGAAAGAGTTCCCAGCACGAGGAATGTAACACAATGCATGATTAATGCTAAGGGGTAAGGCTTTCGACGTCATTAACACATTGCTGCCCGCGTGCACTGCGGGGTATGAACGCAGAAACTCCCGCATTGACCAACTACTTTCTGATGTGCGCCATGTATTCTACCTCCATTCAGCATCGCTGTGAAGTTTGAATGCGTGTTTGGACTGTACAATAACTTGTAGGAATCAATCGATGAAAATTTTTTTCATTGTGTCGTTGTCATTCGAAAATACATTAACACCTTGACGACAGCGCGGCAACTAGGTTTGCCGCGTTTTGCACGCCGCAATGGACATTGTGGCAACTATAGTTGCCACACCCTTTACATTCAGTTTTTTCTTGAACGCGCCATTTCTTCCCAGGTTTTTTGTGTTCATTTTTTAGGCCATACCACAACATAACCAAGAACCACGCGGCTTATAGAATGACCAAATATTCTTTAGTTTGGCAGAGGTTTTTCGGACCGGACGAAAATATCCGTTCAGTTCATTCCTCATTTTCTCTTCATTAACACGAACATGTAGATAAAAAAGAATATTAGAAGTGAGTACAAAGCTACTCGTGTGGCAAGATATGTGTTTTTACCGAAACAACCACGTCCAAAATAATTTTGAAATCACTAAAGCAAAAGTAAGTGAAACTTGCCTTTTCAATGCTGTAACACATCATTCGACCGCACTTTCACATGTGTACCTTCCAATAAGTTTGACACACCGAATATCAGTGAAAACATTTTGTCGCATCGAAGTATTGCGTATTTAAAGCTCAAAATCCACAGATTTGTTGTGAGGCGGCGGCGCTCGCAGAACCGCTCTGGTCCCACGCGGCCAAAAATGCCAAAACGCGCGATGTCGTCAACGTGTTAATGGACGTATTCCCGCAGCATGAAGGGTCATGGCCTGATCTGACTGTGCAGCAAATTCTCATTATACCCGTCGTAACGGCAGCATTTATCACTACCTACCATACAGTCCGGGCGGAAGTGGTGTAGTGACAAGTGGCGCGCTCACCACGCGAGCGGTCCGGGATCAAATCCTGGGTCGTGAGTCGCCCGGGCCAACCAAGCCTTCCATCCCTCCGGGGTCGGTTAATTGGTACCAGACTTGTCTGGGAGGATAAAAACACTGACTTGACATCGGCTGGCCCCCGCAAGTCATTGTATAGGCCACATCGCATTCAAACGCCACTGCGAATGTACAAATGGAAGTAGAATGCGTGCCGCATCCCAAAAAGGGATTGATCAACGGCAAATGCTTTATCCTTTTTTATCCTTTACATACGCCCACTTGACGCACTTGCCGAGTAGATGTTGTACCGCTTAAAAGTGCGCAGCAAGGGCGCTACGACCTGCTACTCAAGCTATTCTACTCTCCTCTCTGCTCAGCCGGTCCTGTTGCGCGATGCTGCAGTCTAGGCGGCGGAGTGGCTAGGATACGCTCTCCTCCTGGATCTCTTGTCCCAGATCTGTGCTCTGTTCGCGACAATGCGCGTTGAGCAAACTAGCCCGCTGTAGGAAATCGAGGCGCCTTCATTCATAGCATGGTGCTTGGCAACATATAACAGGTGTTTCTCTTGCTTCAAAGCATTTCATAACACTATCACAGAGCCGTTTCAGTGTGGCCTCCGAAAAATTTGGGAGCAAAAGTCTGTTTCAAATTGAACGAGTTCTCCGCATCTCCTTACTATCCTATTCCTATCCAGAGAGCTGTGCACACCTTGTAACCCTTGGTGAGGTTGCTCCGCCCAAAATGGAGGTGGACATGTGAAGGTCAGTGAAGAAATAACAAAAAGAACCAAGGGAACAGTTAGATGCAGGGTGTTTCTCCTGCTCAAATACCCCAATTTCCGGTAGATAAGCCTGCGCCGATTTCACGTAAAAAACCACCTCCGCTCGTGCAGTGTAACTTTGTACACCTTAGAGCCACACGAAAAATTTGCCTATACCGGTAAGTCGATGCCCTGATTACAGGAACTACTTATTTTCAGGCGGTGGCGCCATGGCGCCAGTTGGCACCACCTTGTCTCGACAACCTGCTTTCAGCATATTTCGTGTAAACTTCTGTATAGCGGTTATTTGGTGCCCGAATATGACATTCACTCTCGGCGCTGGCGCTATTTGGCGCCTACTTTCTGCTTGTCTGTGCTCTCCAGCAGAGAGATATGCACTGAACAACGTCGCCAAAAACGAATGTCATATTCGTAATCAGGGCCCCAAATAACCCCTATACAGAAGTTTACACCGATTTTGGCGAAAACAAGGGTCGTGACAAGGTGACGCCAACTGGCGCCAGATGCCGCCACCGCTAAAAACGAATGTCGTTTTCGTGATCAGCATATCGAATTACCCCTATGGGCATGTTGGGGCTTGTCTCTAGATGTACCCAAGTGCACTGCACCAGTGGAGGTATTTTTACGTGATATTGGCGCGGGCTTATCGAAAATACGGAAATTAGGGTAGTGTAGCGGACTATGTTAAAGCGACGAGACACTTAGCGTTTAGAAGAGAGTATAGGCGAGAAAGTGTCTCACACAAAGAGAGCGTACACACTTTATGATGGTATATGCGTAACTTCGCAACAAACATTATACGAAGTTATTCTTAAAGGCAAACCCCGGGATTAGCCCGACTTGTGGGAAGGATACCGCGAGGGAAATTGTAAGGTCCCTACCTAGATCACTCCAGCTTCGCCGCAAAAGTTGCGCGGTTAGGGCGCTAATCCTTACGGGCCTGCAACCATCGACCCCCGTTGCAACGCTTCCCACCCACCTCGATATCGGCGTGCTCTCTCGAACGGCGTGATCTCTCGCGTGTTTTGTCTTCTTTGACCGCCCTGCCTCGCCATCGTTCCACATCCGACCTTTGAAGGTTAAAGGACGAATTCACGATGAAAAAGCAACCCATTTCAAATTAACCTAGGGATGGTGAGTGGTACACGAAAGAAGGAAGAACCATGAGAAACGGCCCAGAACCCGAGAAATGGGACCCCTTCCTTGCCCGTTGATTTGAGCATTGATGCGACTCTCATCGCTGTGCCCTCTTCAACACTACGCTCTCTCAGCTATCTAATCACTCGCCACGTATTGAACTACGGCGAGTGATCAGATGATCGGTGGGCGGAGATCGCCGGACCCGCCAGCTTTGAGGCATGATAGGTCGCCGAGGTCAAATTTTTCCATGCGAATTGCGCGTCAGTTCGCACCCTCAGGAGGTCCGTGGGTCCCTCAACTAGGTCAGTTTCCCTTTCTTCGACCTTCATTCTAATCGTGAATTCCTCCTTTAAGGCCTCAATTTCAGCGATCCCGAAACTTTCTTCTCCACTTTCAGGCCGCCCCGCAGCTCAGTCATCATTACGAAGCGCTCTTATCACCGATTTTATCCCGAGGCTTGCCTTTAGGAAGGCCTAGTGCCCTTACTGCGCACCCTCGCCAGGATAGTAGCAGTAATTCGACGATTATGCAACTAATTACTCCAGCCACATAAGCTGCTGTTCCAGCAACCCAACCGCTGGATGTGCCTTAACCACTGCCCGAGACCCTGGACACATCGAGATAGGCCGAATCAATTCC